CTTCAGGTCAGAATCCAGCTGAACCCCCAGGTCCTTCTCTACTTCAACCGTATTCAGCTGGAGACCATTCATGGTGTATGAGTGCCCAGGATTCCTAGGGCCGAGATGAAGGACCTTGCACTTTGATTCATTGAACGGCAGTTGCCACTTCTCCGACCACTTGGCCACTTCTTCAATGTCTCGCTGGATTGAGCTTGTTCCAGTGGACGATGGTGTTCCGAAGATTTTGGTATCATCTGCAAAGACCTTGATGGAGCTCTGCACGGATTCGGGTAAGTCATTGATAAATATGATGAACAGCATTGGCCCGAGGACTGACCCTTGAGGAACCCCACTGGTCACAGGCACCCAAGGCGAGCAGTGTCCTCTGATCACCACCTGTTGACGCCGGTCCGATAGGAAGGAGGCAATCCAGCCCTTTAACCTTCCTGTGATACCGTATCCCTCGAGTTTATTCAGGAGTCTCAGGTGTGGCACAGAGTCAAAAGCCTTTCTGAAGTCGAGATACACCGCATCAACTGGTTCGCCATTCTCTATGCACTTGGTCCACTCATCCAGCACTTCAAGAAGCTGGGTCATGCAGGATCGCTGTGGTCTGAAGCCGTGCTGGTGGTTCGATAGGAGGTTGGCTTCTTCCAGGTGAGTCATGAGATGATCTCGGATCAGGGATTCAAGTACCTTGCAAGGAATTGCAGTCAAGCTCACTGGGCGATAATTGCCTGGGTCCAGCCTGTCCCCCTTCTTCAGAATAGGTACTACGGTGCCAAGCTTCCAGTCGTCTGGAAGACAGCCAGACTGAATGGACTTGTTGTAGATGATGGATAGTGGGACCGCCAGCTGAGCAGCCGCCTCGATCAAGACCCTAGGGTGGATTCTGTCTGGCCCTGGGGAGCTAGAGCTCTTGAGTCGCATCAACTTGTGTTTAACCATGTCGGCCGTGACCGTCAGGTCGCGAAGGTTCAGTGACTGGCCAGGTGGAGCTAGAGATGGTATAACAGAGGCATCCTCGTTGGTGAATACCGAAGAAAAGTACTTGTTCAGGATGCTAGCCTTTGTGACGTCATCTCTGATTACCAATCCGTTCTCATCTCTCAAGGCGTCGATGCCAACCTTGGTTTTGAGTCTCGAGTTGGAGTATTTCCAGAAGGCCTTTGGGTTGTCCTTTAGCTCTTTTGACAGTCTGAACTCAAAGGTACGTCTCAGCTCTCTGGTAAGCTTTCTCAGTCTGTTCCTGCATCGGCAGTACCTGGCGTAGTCCACAGGGTCCCTGGTGTGAGCATACATATTCCAAAGCAGGCTTTTCTCACGCCTGAGCCTCTGCGCTCGGTTATCAATGTACAGGTTCTTGTTAGGTCTGTGGTGCGTCACCGGCACTGTGCGAGCAACTGCCTCTCTGAGGGAGCTCACAAAATAGTGGTAGGCGCGATGCACGTTGCTATCATGCATCACAGTCCAGACCACATCTTGGAGCACACTCCTCAGTAGATTGTAGTTGGCTCTGTTGTAGTTCAGATGGGGACCGATTGGGATCCCTTTCGTAGTGTAACATTTCAGACTGAACTCCAGAATGACATGGTCACTGAGGCCAAGACCTGGTGAGTGTTGCAAGTCCTGTACCATCCCTTCCTCGTTGGTGAAGATGAGGTCAAGCATACTTGGGATTTGACCTAAACGATACCTTGTTGGTGCAGTGACATGCTGGGTAAGAAAATGGTCTTGCACACATGAGAGCAGTGCATGAGAATGATGTCCAGGGGGCTCGTCTGAGAGATAGGACGCCCAGTCAATCTGTGGAACGTTGAAGTCTCCGACTACCAGAATGTGAGAAGGACTCAAATTTCCAGCCAGTGACAGACTTCTATCCAGCTCAGTTATGCCCAGATGTCTGTCTCCGGACGGACTCAGGTAAATACACCCAATCAAGAGTTTGTCCCCATTGCGAAGGTCGATCATAATCCATATCTGCTCCATGGATGTGGGTGGGTTCGTTTGAAGAGTTACTTCATGAGATGGCAGGTGCTCCTTTACATATATGCACACACCTCGTTGTCCACTCGCCCCGAGATTGGGTCTTGACAGGTCCACATTTACATAAATGTTGTACTTGGGGAGGGCCAGTAGAGCAGGGTGAATAGGAAGAATCTGGGCCTTAGGAACAACTTCTGTGATGAGAATGACATCAGGCTCATTCTGTGCAATTACCATAGACAGGTCGTCCCTCTTGTTGATTAACTGATCGGCATTAGTATAAATGACTTTGATTTGCTTTGCTTGATCACTAATACCCGACCCATATAGTCAATTTTGGTTGCTGTCAGCATGTGGCCGTGCTGACTCTGTTCGGTTAGGCTGGGAGTTCGCAGGTCTGTCAGCCTGTTTCAAAGTGCTTGAGCTGGGGTTGGGGTTGGGTGCTGGGTGAGTCGAAGAGTTTGGGTGAGAATGAGTAGCCTCATTGTTGTTCATCCTCACTATCTTCCCCTTCCTGATAGTCAGGTGCTCCTCCCCTGCCAGCTTTCGAGCAGCCAACTCCTCCCTGAGCCGTTTTCCTTCTTCCCTGTCTTTCTTTGAGAGATCAGGGGTGACATAGATCCTCTTCCATGTTGAGAGGTGTCTGAGTTGTGGAGCCATCCTCAGTACCTCTGCTTTTGCATCAATGCTGTCTAGAGAAACAATGAGAAGCCGGGGCCTTTCGTCACTCCTTTTGCCAGCTCTGAATGCCTTAGTTGGCCTGATGACTAGGCTCATGCCTTCTTTGATTACTTCTTTGAAGAGGTGAAGGTCCTTTTCCATTCTCTCAGACAGCGTCTCCCCTTCCTGTTCTGGCAGGTTATGTACCACTACATTTAGTTTTCTTCTCTCTTTGTCCATGAAGCTGTCGAACACTCGTGACATAGCATTGGTGGTTTCAGATAGACCATTGTGGTCAGTCTTGGGCTGGGTTGGAAGGATGTCAATTTTTGCACCCACATCCTTCACCACCTTCTCGCATGTTCCACGAACGATGTCAGCGTAAGACTCCCTCTGGGCATTTTGCTCTTTACAGACTCTTTCAAGAAGGTGTGAGTGATCCATGGTAGTTTTCTCCTGTTCTTTGATGGACTGAACGATGACCTTCATGTGCTCGCGCACTGAGTCAGCCATCTGTTGGACTTTTGTTTCTAGTTTTTGCAGTGCGTCTGCCTTACCGATTGGTGACTGAGTGGGATCGGTCCTGTTCCCCGTTCCAGGCCCCTGCTTTTTGCATGCATCGCAAAGCCATGACAAACATTTGTAGTTCACAAGGGCATCGTGGGCCTTCCTCGGAATAGCCTGGCACTTGATGTGATACCAGGATTCACACCAGTCGCACTGGACGGCTTTATCCCCATCCAACACCTGCATTCCGCACAAGGCTTTTCCGGGGCCACCCTGGCATGTAGCAGATTCATTGGTTGACTCGCTTGTGTCGCTTGAAGAGCGGCTAATGCTCGTCATGCTACCAAATGGAGTGTAGACACTGGCATTCAGTTTACCTACTTCTTTTCCTTTTGCCTCCTCGCGGTTAGTTGCGGTTGTGTTAGAAATGGGGTCATTTGTCTCACCTGAATCCCTCTGGGCCTCCCCGGCCTTGCCCGGGGTCTTGTCACCTTTTTGCAGCCCGATCACTTTACCATTACCTGCACTTCCACTTTCATTTGTTGAAGCACCACGTTTTCCCGCTTCCGTGTTTTCCTCACGGCGTCCCGCGCCCGGCGGCGATGGTGGCGCGTTATCCACTTGTAGTGATGATCGTGTTCTCATTTGAACTTTTGGCGGTGGAGTTCGGGTCATCGACATGATTGAGCGTACAGATATTTTTGGAATTTATCTTGATATACTTTTGAACTGGACAAGCTTCTTTCCAAAACTCAAGTTGCACGTCGTTACGAAGCCGCGCTCTATGCCAAGGTCACACAGGAAGGAAGTGATTGGCTGATAGAATCTGGACGGTAAATGGAAATCTCGGGAGCTCGATGGACACGTCCGACCCCTCCGAGATCCAAAACAAAAGTCAAAACAAAAGTATTCTGTTTCAGTTTGTGTTTTTGATTGCTAAAATAACACATTTGTGCATCGTTCATGATCAATTACAGTAATTATGGCAAAAAACAATTGAATACATAAAAACGGGATACAATGCTTTATTTAATAAAGTTGTAATGTTGAAGTCCAAAGCAGACATTGCCCCACTAAAGCATCTGTATTGAAGTTACAAAAAATAGCTACTACAATCAAAATACTGGTAAGTGGTAGGCACAGTGGCACCAATCTAGCCCGGCAACAATGGATGAGTGGTTATCTGTTATAGCCTTGGCATTTGCACAGAAGATTAACTTTGAATGAGTCACCATTATCAATAACACAATGATCTGAAAGTGATAACTGATAAGACTATTGTACATCATGAAATTAATCCAAAGTGACGGTGGGGACTATTGGCATTTGATTCTGATTCAGCCTCAGGGTAGGGCTATCAGCAGGCAGGCACACTGACACAGACAATTGCCACAAAATAATGATAATGAAGCAACATACCTGGTCTTTTGCTGCTCATGGCGTGATGGGTTATATTGCTAATAAAACAGTCGAAATCCACGAGAACTATCAAGCACACTCTGAAGCCAGCTCGGCGACAACAGCCACAAATTTCAAATATTGTACACAAACCCGCACACGTTTCACATGCCAAACTAGGTATACCACAACAAGGCAAGTTGGGACGGAGCTGGCATGAAAACCTTGCTCAGCTGTTGCATTTCAAGGTGAAATAATTCGAGAAGGATGCATATTTTTGTGCCCTTTTCTGGATAAATTCGCAGATATGTGTCCTTCATTAATTCTTAAATATATATTTGAAGCATTATAAATTGCATCATAAAAATGTGATGGTAAATACGTTTTTTAAACGCTTCAATTTTCTGAAATGAGCAACAGCTTTTCGGGCTGCTTCCAAAAACTGCGCAAAGGTGACGAATAGCGATTCTCCCCCTCCGTCGATAAGCAATTTGATGATTTTAATGATAATGATTGATTTTGATCATTTTGATCTATATTGATACATGCGTATGAGCGTGCACATTTGACTTTGCATTCGCACGGTGCGTGATATCGTGCATGATATATTCGTGATGGCAGCCACTGAAAATCTCACTGTTAGCCAGGCTAAAGGTGGGTTGCGACTTGTGTTCAATGTTTGTTCAGTTTTTTTAATGTTGTCTTTTATTCTTTGATAAGGTGATGGAATGAGTGAAAGTTGCTTGTCATCTTAGAGTAACCTGGTTATACTATGAAGTACACAGCTTGGTCACCAGTCCCTTGTCATCCTAATCCATGGTTACTGTATTGGCTGTTCAAAAGGTTCAGTGCTTTGACTAGGTAAGTAAGCTAATTGGTTGATTTTTCTTTCTTGAACTGGTTGGATATTGGCCTCAAAAACTTCTGCATTGATATATTGTGACAAGGAGCATGTTTTTACAGATATCTTGCAAGACTTGCTGCAGACACTGCAGTCAGATGAGATAAACGAGAAGATATCTGGAGCACGAGATCAGGCTGGCAATGACATGGTCAAATACATGCAGCTCGTTTTTCCACTGGTAGCTCAGGTGCAGGCAGAGGTCATCGAAAAACATGGATTTTATGGTGAACGAGGTATGTACGCTCCTGTGCTGTGCAATTGTTTAGGTAATTACGACTTGTCAGCTTTTGATCTAATGTTTTTGCCTATTTCAATTGCATAAGTCTAAGCTGCCTTAGTGCATATGTATATCAACAGGTCTTGCTGTTAATTGCAGAGACAATAAGTTATATATATAGGTGGAAACATCAAAGCACTCAGTTCATTCAGTATTCTTATAGCTCTAAGCCAAACCCTTAATCTTTCTTTTTTGACAAAGAGTGATGACAGTTACTATACTTTTTTGAACAGCATGGCTCAGTTTACATTGGTGTGGCATGTTTCAGCAAGTGTAGCCTTCATGCAGATGCTGAAGAACTTGGAAACACAGGACCCTGAGCTGGTGGCAATGAGTGCAAGGGTGAGAGAGTATTTCCTGCCCCAGTTGGGAGACCCAAAGGATAGCTGAGATGTGTCTGAAAACAAATGACTGAACACCGTATGATGTGGGTGAGAACTGAAAGATGTGTTGTCTATTTTTTGTGCTTTTTTACAATGAACATTTCTTGGACACTTCAGTGGCACTATTTCGAGGGAAAGAGCTTGGCGAATTGCATTGTGCAGTAATGAGAGAATCTAGGTTCTCTAGATGATGATTTAGAAAGAGTATCGACTACCGATGCTCATTACCTTCCCTTATTATTAATGCGGTGAAATTTCCAAAGGGAGTTGACTGAAAGTAACATGATCTTTGTTGTACCATGAAGTGGGTCTCGAATTCGATTCAACTAGACAGGATGCGAATCCATCATAATCGTGGCAATTTTTCCCCGCGCAGTGAAGTGTTATGTTGATGTAGTATGTACGAACGTATCACTTCGTTGTGTTGTGGTATGGCAGATATTCGCCAATGATTAGCATCAACATATACCACTCGTCAATCAGTAGTGCTTGGCTATCGACGCCTGTAGGTAATGCCACTCCGCTTATTTGAACGTCCGTCCGTATAGACGTTCAGATACCGATGGCATGATTCTTATCGGTCATTTGGCTAACGTTGTGACTCAGCTGATTGGAATGCATCCATTGGGTGCTGGTAGAGATGTTTTGTGTGTGGTGCCCTACTTAGTCAAAGCAAGTGCCTTATCTCCAGCTAGATTTAGGCGAGATATTGCGGTCATTGTCCTCGTAGTTCGTATATGGCTGAATGCAGAGGTGATGTTTGGGCCCTGAACACATGAATTAGCATAGGTTGTCTTCTGCTGGTGTTAGCGATGTAATCTTGCCTCATATTGCGATGCGAATTGACGATATCAGTCCCAAACTCATCCCGGAACACGAAGTTCATAACCTTGCTGATAAAGCTATTTGTGGCTTGAGTCAGTTGCTTCCCTTTCAGTTGTGGATCGCGCCCTATTTCAGTTTGTATGCACCATTAATTCATTATGTCTGAGCTTTAAGCGTGTACTTTTCTGAACTAACAATAAACGTACTTACTAATGTGACCGTCTTGTTTTACAACGGCTGTGTTTCATAAGCAATATCTTATGAGAGTTTAGGCAATTGCTGAACTGAACAGTTCCGTACCCGCACTCGGCAACCGTTCTACTCAATAGGTATCGCACTACACCAATCCCGGCAGCCATAGGTTTGCTTCTTTCCGTCGCCCTGTTGAATGTGTTTCCATGCAACATCTTGAATCCACATTTGCAATGTTCACCAGCTGAGAGCTCCTCTAAACGGCGACGCCTCATATATTTTAACGCATGTACAAAGCCGCGCTCGCCAGTCGATTGTCTGAGTGAGAGGGGCTTGGAGACTGTCACAACTCGCAAGCAGAGTTTCGGACTGACAGCGGGAGCTCCCTGTCGCCACTGGCTAACACAGGGGCCGGCACTGCAGCCATCTCCCGTGAGGATCCACCTCCGCCCATGCCCATGACGCCGTGGGGACACGAATCAAAGCTCGGTAGTCATGCAGCGAGCCGCGCCAAGGAGAAAGGAATCCTGTCCGCTTAGAGTTAGACGAAATCGCGTCAATGTTGCGATAAAGCTGCGAGTGGCATACACAAGTCAACATACAAAACAAGCCGTCAACCGCCAGTTCATGCTCATCCACGACCACCTTAGTGTCGTGAGGCGACCTGTAAAACGCGTCAACGCTGCACATCAGTGTACAACACTCATCTTGTCTCCTAATATCTACGTACGCCATGATTTATCTACTCGACCATTAATCCTCTCCACTGAGTTACCGACAGCTCATTGCCTCACCATACAATATACATGATTCGTTGAAGATTCTGTACTCATCATCGCTCGCCACCTTTTGCCATATTCCATTCATTGTTCTGCAGTTTGGTCTCGGGCGGGGCGGGAATCTGAGACTCCAGACTCCTGGTGTGTTTGAGTTGTCAAGTCTCTCCTTTCCCGCCTGAGCAGCAAGATCTCCATCCAAGGCACGCAAACGACCATGGTCCCCGAAGGCCATGTCACGCCTCCACACAGCACGTAGCACCAACAGCGTCGGCCCTAGTGTGCGTCCTTGCGGCACACCAGACTCGGGCAGATCACCAGAGTGAGCACCGGGGCTCACCACACAGCACCACTGTGGACCGTCCGACCGGCGTCCAGAGAGCTCCTGGCACCACTCGACACCATCGTCGCTCACCAGCGCCGCGGTCGCATCCCGCCGTACCGCCAAGCAGCGCTCTCCTGACACCCCTCTCACGACCGCGCCTGTCCGACGCGACTGGTCTGCAGTACGCCATCCAGCAGCTGCAGCGCCCGGTGCAGGTTCACCTCCACCCAGCAGGGCGTCTCCTTGATGCTCTGGCGCCGGTAGTCGGGCCCCCAGCCCTTGACGAAGCTCAGGCGGAGGATGCAGAGCCGGCGCAGGTCGTCGACGCCGATACCAGCGACGGGCGCCATGTTGACGGCCGGGGCGATGCCGCCGACGCTGGCCGCGCCGGGGATGTGTCCGGCCACGGCCGCCGCCTGCGCCGCCGCCGCCGCCGTCGCCTGGGACGCCTGACAAAAGGAACAACGTACACCGTGAGGCAAAGCGGGCGGGCTGGAGGCCGGACTAAGGGTAATGAAGTGAGGACTGATGTGATAGTTTTGGGGGACAAGGACTCAGCAGCGATCATCAGCGCAAATGGAAGTTACAGATGGAAAGTGATTTTATGACGAAGAATGTCTGTGCTTATGTACCACCCTTTAGGACTTATCAGTCATCACTCATCATTACTCCTGTCCCACACCTCCCCAACCTCCCTGCCATTCCAATCCTCGCCCATTTTCAACACACTCCCAGCGCCTGTACCACGCACCTGTTGCTGCATCTGCCGGTGGCACTGGTGCAGGTCAAACACCTTGATGTAGGCGGCCGGGTAGATTTTGTGGACGGCGTCGCCGGGCGCGCGGCCCGCCTCCCGGTCCAGGTAGTAGCTCTGCACGAACACGGCGTGGTCGCTCAGACAGCGCAGCCACACGTCGCCCTCGCCCTGCACGTCCAGCTGCACGCCCTTGCCGATGTGCAGCCTGCCGGGGGAGGGACAAGTCAGAACTAGAAGCACAGGGGTGAGATGAATGAGGTAAGACTGAGGAGTTGGTTACTTGAGGAGAGGAATGAATGAAGCCAGTAGGGCTGCTGCTGAATGATAACGCTTATAGTCATAGTGCACGGAAGTGATGGCTGACGCGGGGACCTCTCACTGGTAACCAATCACAGAAGCACCATACACTGACCAGGTTGAGTAACTTGTTCCCTTTAGTTCCCTCCCCCTTTCACCCGGTTTCGCTCGGTATGCACGTCCCCCTGGGTCCGCACTGCGCTCTCACCTGGCCCTTTCGCTCTGCTCTGTACGGTGCACGTTGCTGAGGGCGCCCAGACAGAAGCGGCTCTCTCCAGACGGATCCACGTATCCGTCCACGGTGACTGACGACATCGAGGAGGGCACCTTGAAGGCCTCACCAACCTGACGGAGATGAGTAGTGAAGTGTGACGGCAGCGCCATGGGGATGACGGCACGGGCAGACAGAGGACACCTCAACATGGAGTAGAGGTACTGACGTCGAGACATTGATGAAGATGGATTGAAAAGTGTGACATGAACACTGACAATGCCTTCGAGCAAAAGCTAAGCCAATATCAGGCCAAATGGGCAAACTGTGTACTTTAACTCCCCTCCCCCATGCCTTTTCCCGTCGCTGACCAGTTCCTTACCTGCGTGTCCAGCTCGAAGTACGAGATGTTACACCAGAACTCTGGTGGCGGCACGCTGGACAGAAGCACCTGCGTGTCCTGCTGCTGTACGTGAGAGTTGGCGCCGGCGACTGAAGAAGACCACAGACAGCGTCAGGAGTGAGAAACATGGGAATGGTGTCGTTACTGGGGTCCATATGAAGTAACAAAGACGAGGAGGATCTAGTAGAAGTGTTCGTTTAAATTTCAACATCAGACAGTTTCAGTAGATGGCGGGCATCTACTTTTGATTAATGAAATGTCATTGAATTGACAGGATGAATGCTCATTGCCAGTGATTTGGATTTGAGAAGGACGAATCACTCCAGGCTGCTGGTTCGCACGCCAGCGTCCCGGTTATACCCAACAAACGCTGCTATGCGAAAGCGTACAGTCGCAACAATGTACAGTCTGTCTTAAAAGTACCGCGCAAAGTGACGGTGGATCCATCAAGCCTGACCGATGAAGGACTGCTAAATTTGAGTCACCGAAGCACTGGACATCCTCGTCCATTCCCTAGGTCAATTGGTTCGGTGACTTACAAATTATAGTACGCCCTTCCTCGGTCAGGCTTGATGGATCCATCGTTACTTTATGCGGTACTTTTAAGACAGACTGTACGGTGTGGTCCTGTCATCCTATACACGATATTACTGTGTGAGTGTCCGATCATCCCGGAACTCACAGGTGTACGAGGTGGTCCTGTCAAAACTCACATGTGTACGGCGTGGTCCTGTCACCCCTCAAACACACGATATTGCGGTGTGAATGCCCAATCACCCCGGAACTCACAGGTGTAGGGCGTGGTCCAGTCACCCCTCAAACACACGATATTGCCGTGTGAATGTCCAATCTCCCCCGAACTCACAGGTGTACGGCGTGGTCCTGTCGGGTGCCATGTTCTGTGTGTAGGTGAGTGTCGAGCCCGACGATCCTCTGTCGGCGCCGCTCCAGGGCACCGCCGCCGGCGCCGGCTGGCCGCCCGGGCCCGGGAACCGAGCCGGCCCGCCGCCCCCGCCCATGGCGAACCCATTGGCCGGCAGGTGGGGGGCCATACCGGCCGGCCCGCCGCCGGGCGCTGCAGCCGGTCAGGTCAGGTCAGAGGGCAGACGGGGTGCAAGGTCAGTTTGATTAGCGAGGCATTTTTAAGTAGCATGGCGGTGAGGGAGGATGCAGCGTCATTGTGAAGACATGGTGGTGCAGGGTGGATAGGAAATATGAATGACGATGAAGATGAAAATGTACTTTTTAAATAGAACGAAGATACGAGGCAAATAAATAAAGGATATTTGTTCACTGGCATTGCAAGACGTGATGCAATAATCCCTGGCCTGGGAATCGGAGGACGAAACGAACGCTGTTCGATTATAATGCTCCGTATATCAAGATTAAAGTAAAAGAGTGAATCCAGGGCCTCGTTTCATAAAGCGAGTCCGTAACTTACGCCGGTGTTTGGTCTTGTATTGCAAGTGCATGTGAAGCGATGTCGTTAGTTTGAATCGTTGAATTTATTTATCTTGCAAGCAAGAACAGAAGGGAGAAGGGTAAATAAATGTATCGCTTCACATGCACTTGCAATACAAGACCAAAAACCGGCGGAAGTTACGGACTCGCTTTATGAAACGAGGCCCAGCATGCAAAATCTCGAGGGACCAAGTACCGCGTCCTGACATGCCTCCACCTCACATGCACTACAACCCGAGGTAACTGACCTAAGAACGGCGCAGCATTCATGAAATGACCCGCTGAAACAGACAGCATATAGAGCACAGCGTCGGTCAGACCGTCTAACCGTGCGTCAGACACCGATAGAGAGAGGGGCAGACACCGAACGAACCACTACGGAAGGCGGGCTAACGCAGAGCCAACTGAAACACAGGCCCAGTCAGCAGAGAAAAACACAGGCACACGCTGAAGAAACTACACACGACGCGACGGAGAAAACAGAACTAATTACGGATACGGAAAATAAGAAAGAAATCGTTCTATGTATAATAGCTGAATACGCCAGCCAGACTAAAAGAACAGTACGGAATGGAGAAAACAAATTTAAGATCATTCCAACCTACCATAAAATTAGCGCAGTATAGCAATAAAACAAGATCAACCCAACAAGAACACATCACCAGGCAAGACTTTCACGTCATAGAGACAACAAAGCATCCCATTGACCCCACTCAAAGGAAACTTCCCTTGCATGGCGCTAAAAATCGATAACAATTCAAACAAGCAGAGCTGCTTAGCCACACCATGCCACCATGTTCCCAGTTCCCATCCCACTTCCCATGGCTCCAATTCACAGACAACATCGCAAAAACTATCAATCATCGACCAGCTTCACGCAGCAAAAAAGCAATTTGACAGCCTGCCACAGGTCGGAGGAGGACAGCATCGACAAGCCATGCGAAGTTTCCGGTCATCTGATGGCTCACGGTAGCTGCCAAAGAAGCAGCGCGCCGGTTTTTGGGACCTTTCTTTCCAATTTAGCTAGATTTAGCGAAATTTTCGTGTTGTTTTTCAAAGGGAGTGGAATAATGAGTTTAAACAAAGTAGCTCACTTTCACGAAATTATAATTTTGCAATGGATTTATGATTGTTTATGCTGAAAATGATCAGAAAAGGAAATAAACCCTTTTTATAAAAAAATATATATTCTATATTTTCATATAGGAAGAACTATTCAGTTTTAACAGAGGGCAATGACCACTGCAATGCACACATTCCTCAGCAAGGCACCTTTTCCGGGACGAGAAGTGGAATATTTTTGCCTAGGGTGATATTCATTGGGCCGTAAAAGCTCCTGATTTGTGCTTTTCTCAGCTCAAGCTACGGAACTGCTATTCCAGTTCAAAACCCCATGTTAAAGGTAGTGTGCCAGCTTTCCTGGACCGTATGGAGTTAATGGCCCAGATAAGGAGAACCGGATTTTTAGAACTTATCCATACCTTCAAAACTCATGGAAACGTCTTAAATTCTTCAAATCTTGAGTACCCCAGTGCGAAATTCGCCCCGACGGGTTGTCGGTCGTACCCCAACCACATTTCACACCACTATGAACAATAAATGCACACACTGAAATCGCTATTACCGATATGCTCATCCAATCAAGTTTCGATAAACCCGTTCATCATCATCTCCTGCGGTTTCGAACACGCCTGTTAGGTGGCTTCTGATGCTCGTCGAGGTCGGAATTTCCAAATACGCGTGGTGCGTCGGGCCGCGCGCTCTGACTTCGGCCAAGAAAAATGCGTCAGCTGATCATTGTCATTTCTGCCACTTGCGTGTGGTGAAATGGGGTCATAACTTATAAGACGGCTTTTTCATATCAATTATTTTACATAAAATCATATTTCAAACCATAAATAATGTTCGACAGCCAAATAAAAGAAACAATACCAATACGGGCTTACAGTTTAAGGCTCGACATTGTGTTGTCTACGATTAGACAGCTGATAACTCATTCCCGTACGTCGTATGGTCGTAACACTATAATGACCTTTGCTTATTGTCACAAGTGCGCCGCATTCGCGATTGTTGCCCGACGCCTGTTTGCAGGTGAGCCCACTACAGTTGTTATACATATCTAAAAACCGAAAAACTTTTAGGCGAAAAAGGCACTATTCCAGGCCTTTTTTTGATTTTTTTTGCGATATTAGGTAAAAACAGAAGCTTCTTATCCTAGGAAAAATAAAATGGGAAATCTTTCAAAGGTGGCACACTACCTTTAAAAGTGAACTATTTCCTTTCACAATTTCCCATAACAAAGAGTTCCCTGCTGTTCATTAGACTACACTTATCTCTACAGTCTACTCGGTTTCTATATCGACTCTGATAATGAGTTTAGGGGGAGACACCAGGTTTCTACGGGTTTCTAGGCTTCAGTATGTCTACTTCTACATCTAGGGCGTTCTAAGGCAACATGAATTGAATTGATCTCTTCCTTACGATGGTCTGAGAAAGTGGCGGAGCCGGTGCCGGCCGAGCCACCCTGCTGCGAGGAGCTGCCGCCGGGGGAGAGGGCGCCACCTGTAACAGCGGCGCGGCGCCGGCATCCACCGTGACGTCACGGCCACGACAGACGACCAAGCACGGAGCGCAGAGAGGAAACGGACCCGGCGTGACCGATGTAGATTATGAACAAGGAGACCAGCAACGAAATTTGGAAGAAATGACAGCAATCATAGCGATAATGATGCGCCAGAATTACTAAAAACGGCACAAACTGTGATATTTATCACCCATCATCGGGTGACAATTTATGAAGCATTAATGTCGCTCACAGTTATATGACCGAAAAACGCCTTATCCGTTTCCACTGTGCGCTCAGCGGACAAATATAGCAGCAGACCATAAGCAGAGGTTAGTTAGCTATCAAACAGATCAGCCACAGTCTCTCTTTGCCAACCAGCAGGTCAACGGGAGGTCAGCGGCTGTCCTGGCACGGTGACATGACGGCTAAAGCGACACAATTTGTTAGTACATCAGCTTGGTGGCATTCAATCCTCCCGGGAGGACAGCAAGTTCCCTGATCCTGAGAGAGATCGGGTCTCTGACGGATCACGGATGTGTCTCTCTGCGATTTGAAGGCCGACGACACAAGCTCAGGCCTCAGAGACAGTGCAGTCGGGAGCAGCCTGCTCCACTATACAGCCAGCGACGCCTGTCCGCCGCGGTGGACGGTCCAGCGTTCTTACAGCCTGAGCAGACGTGATGCACATAGCATGAGAGCACACAGCGACACCCAGTCTCACACTCTCTCAAACCCATACGGCCCACGTCAAGCTCCAGTCAGACTTTCATTCCAAACCCTCATGCCAGAATTCTCAATGCCGTGCGATGGACACGACATCCTGTCTCATCCTCCCTCAGGCTTCTCCCTCTCTCCCTGTCTCACACCCACCCGCCGCTGTCACTGACCGTGAGCCGGCATGCCGTAGGGCGTCATCCCGTGCATGGGCGGCCGGTGCTGCGCCGCCACCGCTGCGGCCGGCGACACCCCCGAGCCGCCGGGGGTGGGGCCGGCGCCGCCATCACCACCGCCGTCAGCATGGTCCAGGCCGGCCGAGTACTCGTTCTTCACCGAGGACTGGCCGCCCGGGTGCAGCGACAGACTGGATAGGTCTGTCGAGTGAAGGGTCAGTGATTCAAGATGTTGGTCGAGGGTCATAGTGGCGGAAGAAACTTCGAACGAAGTTGGAAAATCATTATCTATCGAGGTGCTAAAGTGACAAGAACTATATGAGCTCAGTTGCAGATTTTGAATCATTAATGACCACAGCAAAACTAGTATTAGATCAATGACTGCATTAAAATCAGCTGATAAGCCCTAAAAGCTGAACGATTCATCGTAAACATTGTCAGAAGTTATAGTATTGATAGATCATAACAACTGCCCAAACTGTATGGAAATCATCTCGTCAGGCAAGGTCTAAGGGTGACTAACAGGATGCAAGTAAGCTTCCTACACCAGCATACGTCACCAGCTAACGTTGGAGCCGTAGCTCGTTGCACCGCTCACTCACCGATGCCGGCGGACACGACGCGCTCGTAGTGGTACGGGTTGACGCACACCACGTCCGCCTTCAGCTCGAACGCCAGCGGACAGAACTTGGCGTTCTTCAGCTCGTTCTTGTGCAGGTCGGGCCAGCGCCAGATTTTGGCGTAGACCACATGGGGGAAGCCTTTCCTGCCCGCCACCTGGCCATAACGACGTAAGTGCTAGGTATATAACGAAACCTGCTAAGTGTCCAGCTACGTAGTGTGGCACTGGTGCCAAAAATCGTGCCTGTGACGTGGCCGATGAAAATTTATGTTAATGTATAAGCTCACTATTCGCCTTAGTCAGTAAAATGCTTCCAAAACGCCAGCTAAGCAAACAGCAGTTCACAAACTACATTTACTGAGCCTCCGAGCAGTATAGGTACAAACTCTCATTCTCCTGACATCCTACCGTCCCCCTCCCCCCCCCCCCGTCCCTACTTACAATCAGCCATACACTACAGGGTGTCTCAAAAGTTCGTTTACACATTTCCCATGTCAATAAAGCATATAAGAACCGGCCAAAAATCTAAGGTTTTGGTGTCCGTGTGTACACTAGACAAATATGCATGCTTTGACAACTGATTCGGAAGGTAGGAAACCAAACCCTTTGCTGTATCTCCAAAAATATTTGCCCATACCGATTTTCGTCACTCCGTCAGCTGCCGGAGGCTGATAAAAGGTTACCAGCTTTCAAGCTCTTGTAGGGGAATCCCCTGCAGTTTCTGCGTCGGATTTAGGTTTGACGAGCTCCCCGGCAACATCCGCTTCTCCCTGAAAGCCGACAGCTTGCATCGACACCATCCGTGAGTATTTTGTAGGTCTTCTCTGGCGCTAACTCCTTCATGAATGACTGGCACCGACCTCCCAAGCACCATTTTCCTTTTCAAAACAACCCCATTCCTGAACAAATGGGAAGTGCCAGGGGCAAATTTTTCGCAGCATATTGTAGCAGAATGTGTCGGCCATCTGTTTCTTAGACACATTTTGCAAATTTTGCAAATCCCGAACGCTCGTCATTCCCAATGCCAAGACCTTCGCTGGGTTCCGGAGTGTTTTCCTCAGGAGAGGTTCTGCTTTGTAAACGGCCAAAACCTGTCCATCGTGCGGTTTTGTCCGGATTTTGTGTGTAAAAGAAAACTATTTGCTCCAGATCTGCCTCTTGAAACTTCGTTAGATAAAACTTTACATTAATTGACACTTTTGGAGGGTCACTTGTCCTCGGCATTGACGATTTTCGCATTATTTTCCCTCAAAATTTAGCGTTATAGATATTATAAACAATTTTAAATGATATTTTGTCTTTATTTTATGATGACCTGCAATTTTTGAAACTGGGTAACCTCTGTCTGTGAGCTTCTAGTCAGTTTTCAATAGTTAGGACTGCATTTTCAGCTGCTTTCCGGAGCACGAGTCTGCTGCGGTACAAGGGTCGTTCAAAGCGCTGTTAGTCTCGCATGGTTTTGTCCTTCAAAAATTTTAGCCACCGTTTTTATTAGATGACCATCATGTTGTACTCATCCTCGCCGACACTTTGCCATGTGTCATTTCCGACCTAACCATTCCCATTACTCGTGAAGCAGAGAGTTTCTCAGCCGACCCGAGTATGCGACCTCCATTTTCATGCCTGATCCATGGTCAGAGGTGAACCCTTTTTGTGAGCTCATGAAGGGTCGAATGCGCTTGAAAACAATGAAGCTGCTTGAGGAAGGTTGTTACCAATGCCCATGCAAAATTTTGACTGTTAATTTTTTGTTGATTCAGAATTATTGACAAAAAAGCATGGCTGGTACCTGTAAACGAACTTTTGAGACACCCTGTATACAGTACATATACACCGTGGGCGGAGTGACACATTTTCCAGTCCTTTCACTCCCATCCTCCTGCCTCTCTTCCCCTCTCCCATTCGTACCTGCAGTCGACCATCCAATGTACGCGGGATGGTGACGCATTTGCTCGGGTGAGCGCCGTTGGTCGTGATGGCAGTAATCAGAGAGTCCAACTCATCTCTCTTCTCCTGTGGTGCAGAAAGGAGTCGTTCAATCTGCATCCAAGCTTCCTGGACCGCCAGCATTAGGATTCAAATGACACCGAAGTGTATGGAGAGGTTGGGACGGCGGACGCTCACCACAAAATCACGATGATCCAAAAACATCCCTCTAAACTCAGTCCCCAACCCCAACCCCAGCCCCAGCCCCAGCCCCAGCCCCAGCACCCAACACCTGCACAGCCTCCTCCCACTCACCTTAAGCTTCTTGACGAGGCTCTCGATGGCCTTTCTGGCGAACTCCTCTGACTCCCCGCCCTGGCGGTGGCACATGAGACTGTGCACGATGCTCAGACAGGCGTCTGTCGACGTCGGCGACGGACTGGGCAGCGCCGGGTTCATCATGGCTGTATCTGCAACATCGACACACAATGGGTATAAATGGTAGGTTTCATTTTCAAAATCATCAAGCATCAGTTATGAATGAGAGTGACACATGATCAATCCTCATCATCAAAGCTGGCTTAAAGGAAAAGGGCCACCTTCGTGAAATATGAAGATATCGTTGTTTTTCATTTTGACATTATTATTTTTCATTTTATTTTTAAAACTGGTGCCAGAAGTGCACAATTCGCGAAAAAAGTATTTAAAACTATTTAACATATTGGTACTATGTTGATACTCTCTACGGCACCTACTGTATGATGGCATAGCGATGACGTCACACTCAAGCCAATCAGCGTTCAGAAGACAGACTCGTCGGATTGTGTCAGATAAGCTGATTGGTTAAAGCTGAGCTGGTTGGAGCTGATTGGTAAAAAACCAAAGCCTCGCCGCGGGTGGCTGTATTGTCGGATAAGAACGCATTCCTGGGATAAGGACGCATTCCTGGCGTATTTTCTTTTAAAATTGCCGATAACTACGAATGGAGGCCGAAATCGGCCGTAAGGAAGTAGACAGACTGGTTTTCGGACACGGGCTACAAGATGGCTATCTCAGTTTCAATTCCCATGATAAAGGTGGCCCTTTTCCTTTAAGTCTCAAGGAGAATGAATGCTCCAATATACCTAAACTTGGGTTTTAAGCTGAAGCAGAAGTTTTCGGCTTGTGCTGAAAATTGATCTTTTTCAGGGGCTTCCACAGTCCAGCAATTCCCTTAAAAATGTTTGTATTATGAATCAGAAGTATTCTAACCAGGAGTGCAGTCAGCTTCCTGGCCACCAAATCAGCCAATTATTAGAAATCAGGTGGCAAATTTCAAAATTTGGCAGGTGGATACGTCTTGGTCACCATTCACAAAATGAGGTAGGTAAGTAGGTGCAAAAGTTATTTTGAGTTAAAAACCTAGGTTAAAAGTGTTTATGTTATGATGGACTTTTGTATGGAGCTGGTGGGGCTCAAATAGGTTAGTATCTCTAGCAGAAGTAGAAGTCAGGTACAGTCTTCACTCTTCACACAGTGATAGTGGGGAAATATGGCATAGTCTCACTCCTATACTGTTCCTACTTGACTTTCCTCAGTCATCACTGCCCAACTTTTCCTGTAAGACTGCACCAATGTTGTCATGGTTTGCTGTCCTTTTCCTCACTGTCACATACCATCAACTGGTTACCTATATGTCACAATTGGGAAATTCATTACCTACTCCATTATTCATCCTCATCCTTTCCCCAGCTTCCCAGTATCCCTATAACTAAAAGGGGAGCCACTATATGGGGGAGCCACTATAAAGGTCATTCCCCAAAAGAGCCACTTCTACAGTCCCTATCACTAGAAGCTGGTAATTTATAGAAGATAATAATGTCTAAAATATTACCTTTGAATTGATCAGCCAACACTTCTGACCCTTGTGTCCTTAAGTTATCTGTTACAATTGCTAGCACAAAATGAAAAGCTCAAATTAACTGTTTTACATGTTATAATTCCCACATTAATTTTGATGATTTTCTAATGGTTTTTAAAGAAACAAGTAGGTAGCCAAACAAAGCCTTAGCTCAGACAATATCAGAAATTAATGCCTATGAGCATTGGATAGAGTCCACAATCAAGAAATGTTATGATTCAAGAGTATAAGTGGCTACCTAAATGTTTTAGCACTCAAAACTGGGGGCTTTTCAAATAGCAGTTCCATCAGTAGACTGGGCTTCCAGTGTTCTGAAGCTCTATAGTTAATAGCCTCCCTTTACTTAACACTGCAAAGGTCAAGAGCTGTGATGTGCTGCTCAGTCTCACTGTCACCAGTGAGAAAAACAGGAAGAGAAATAAAGAGTACCCACCATCCACCAGTGACCAGAATCAAAGTAGCTTCCAAGATACCTATAAGAAACAGGTAGGTCCGATGTTTTGAGTAAAGCCCAGTAAAGCCCTGGTGACGTCACTGACATTTCTTATATGGAGAATTTCGCCCATAAGGAAAATATTTTACATACGGAAATTTGTATTTCATTAGGAAAAAATACATTCTTTCAATTTCATCATGAAACTTATATAATTTAATTAAAAAACTTGAAATCCTTTGAGTGCTTGTCCCAACCCCTGCTATACCTTTGGTCACGTGACTTCCATGATAAACTTTGCGTTTTGCAATGTTATGACTTAAACAGAAGCAATAAATGTTACAAGCGTATTATTTATGATGTTTTAGGCAGCAATCGTGTAATAACATCCTTGAATTATATACATTCTGCTTAAAAGAGGTCACGTGATGTTACCAGATTGTGCTCGGACAGCATCTTCTTGAACTTCAATTTTGAGTACTTTTTACCTTCATTGAGTCCTAATAACGGACGTTTTTAGTTATAAAATGAAGCAATGAATCTATTGAGGGCAAAATTTAATCATTTTTGCACTTTCAAGCCGGGCTATCCTGGCATGAACTTCGGCCGGTTTGTGTGTGAAGCCTATGGTGAAGGGAAAACTTCACGCCCGGCTGACGTCACAGACCTCGGCTACCAAATCGTGTCCGGTGGGGGTCGGTAGCTTCCATACCTAAAACATAAAACTATCAGCATTCAGCATGCTTCCTGATAACAGCTACTGAACTGAACAGTGCCCTTGTTTCATGAGCTGAGGGGCACCAGGAAGCGTACAAGTGGAAGGAATGACCTGCAGGCTGCTACACACTAAGGGCGACCAGCTCTCAGGAGCTGGCCATCAATAACCTGTGAAGTTGGGACATCGCAGGCATTTGACCTTGAATTCTGCAGCTGTGGGCCTAGGCAGCAGAGCAGAAAAACAGCATTAGCCTGACTGGAGCAGCCCTGTTGCAGTGAAATAAGCCAACTTCAAATTATATCGTAGCGGGTGGCAGGTGCAAGCCTAGGCCCTGTTTCACCGGTGATAGCAGCACGCTGCTTTTACACGTGTCAAATTGGGTTTCCATGGAAACATCAACAGGCCCATTGCTCCAACACTACCACAAGTGTGACGTCAGCTCGCACAATTTGATAGCAGCGTGGTAGCAGCGTCCCGTGAAACACCGCCCTAGTCTCTATATCAATATTACTTAATACTTAGGTGCATCACAGGAAAATAATGTGTAAGACTTACCAAACATTCAGGCAGGTAAATGCTGTGAAAGTATGTCCTACAAAGAGCCAACCTCTGTCTAGCCCTAGAAATATCTCGATTAACGTGGTCACGTTCAGCGTTGATCTTATTCTTGATCTGCCAAACCAAACCCCACTTTAAACATAATAATACGCGAAACTGAGCAATAAGTTTGCAAACAACTATCCCATAAAATAATATATCTAATTCTTAGAACAGTTTCCACACTCTCGGATTAATTACGAACAAATAACTGCGATTCCAACCTAATCTCTCTCTCTCAATGTTGTTGTGCGCCAGATTACATGCAATTTCGCAGTAAATGTGCGCCATTTTAGAGAACTTTTAATTTAGCTGCCTCTTTCAGCCAGAGCCCCGAGAACAAGGCTATATAAACCAGGTAGAACGCTCCGGGAAAAAAGTTGGAAACAATAAATTAGTTGCGGCATTCCCTGATGACGCGAATGTGGGTCAGCGGCCGGCGGCCGGCGGCCGCTAACACTGTATGAGGACGCATGCACGGAACTTTTGCTTGTTGGAGATTGCGCTAGGCAGATAAATGTTAATGTTAGGATATGTTTCGAAAGTAAATTGAACGACGCTTCGAACGCCGTCAATGAATTTGCGATACGACGACTATTTGTTTAGTTAAAGCCGGCGAACTTTTACCTTCCGACCGCGCGGGGAGGCGATACGGTGCTACACTGACGGTTTTTACGATAACTCAAAATTCTTTTGAGCTAAAGAGCTGAAATTTGACATGTACAATCTTTTGATCAAGCTGGATCTTCTGGTACAAGTCGCATATTTAAGGTACGTCAGGTTGTTGACCTATGTTATCGCTCGTGAGCCTCTACACAGTCCAAAAGCAACGCAATTTCTGGACACTCAGTGCCAAGAAATCCTTCACAGAAAGATGACACTTGGCAGAAAGAAGAGCTGTCTGTTTCTTACCGTTCGTATGTGCCGTGTTTTCACAAGAGTTTAGTAAGGTCAGGTCCCTCACGTGACCTCCCCTCATAACTCAATAGGTTTACTATCATAGAAGCGTTTATCAATCGCCGGAAATCTTAGCCAATCCCACTGGACACTGGATCTATACCCACATGGGGCCCTCCTGACTGGCCACTCCCTCTGAAATCCACAATAACATTGGGCTGCGGCCACGGTTATGTATTAATGCTTTTCACTAACAGAAATACAACAACTTCAACCAACACAGTGCACGCCGCCACAAGTCCGACCCACGTCCCTGATATCGACTAGCACCCGGCCGGATGCACATACGCGGAGCCAATCATTCCGAATGTGACCTGCACAATTGCTGTGTCGCATGGCGCATGGCACAGGATGATTCCTAGCAGCTGTCGGGTGGAGTGGAGAAACAGCACGTTGCGACACACCGCGCCGGCGACAGAGCTCAGCAGGCCTGGTTGGAGGCTGGAGCCGGAGGTAAGGGCGGACGCCGGACACAGGCACATACATTGCAGGACAAATAACAGGATGTCAGTTAGGGATATAATTCAAGACGAATGATTCAAGACGGCCTGAAATAATGCAAATTTTGCTCACTTGGATAGTGGATACCAACTTCAAACTTGACGTTTATAGCACCACGGAAACAATGGGCGCACAGGAAAGAAACAAAAGATGGGGTGTTTCTAACGCAAGGAAGTAAATAGAGGTTGCATATGATGGAACAGCCCGAAGTGCAGACAAGCACATATTTTTGGTAATAGCTATCAGCCTATCAGCTGTCCTACTACTCTTCTCCCTTCATCAACTACTGGACACATCTGAAGCATCATATATAGGTAGCACCAATGTCCATAACAAATGCTTGGAAGTAGTTTTATGAAGCCATGGGAAATACATGCTAACATGCTTACATCATGCATGTAAACTCAAAATTACACAGGCATGACAAAGGAAGCTTATGTAAAGAGAGTAGTTAGCAAAAGCATTTCATAGTTAAAATAATTCAAAACTGCACAGTGCACACAGGGCAAACATAAAAAGCAGTAAGTGTGCACTTTGCTGTTCAGTTATGCTAAGAAATAGTTCAAAACAAAATACATCTTTTCATGTTTACTGGTTGTTCTTCTATGCCACTTCACCCATATCTTGATTACAGATGGGCTGTTACTGTAGGCTGATGAAGTGACACTTGGTTGCCTTTGTGCGAGTTTCAGTTGCAGCCTCCTAGGTACTGCACTGGAAAGCAGATGAATGCCTCTGAAAGATAGGAATGTAGGCAAAGTTAGCTGTAGTAGTGTCAATGATAATAGACATGACATATTTGTCCTTTGACATACATTTGTTGAAGTAAAACAGGTACAAAATAAATTGGTTTGTTTCAAGACACGCTCACTGCACAAAGCCGCACAGACATTACACAGGCATATGAAATTGGTACACATAAAACTTGATGATTAAAAAGGTCAAAACTAGCAATAATAATAATTGAAGTAAAAGTTACAATCACAATCATTTCATTTAAAATGACTTGACATAAGTCACAAGACACAACGCTCCTATTCACTAAAGAAAAGTTTTATGCTTTCATTATCCTCCGCATATCAACCAGCTTGATACCAGGCTGTGCAATAGTGGGTACATAACCCCATGTTGCCATTTTATTAGAGCAAGTGGGGTTACAACAACAATGCTAATGTCAAACCCACATCTGCAACCCGTACTGCAGTTTCAATCACCTTACAAGCACACCTTCTGGCAGTTTGATAGGCAGAATGGTCATTACTACCTTCTCCTCATATTCAACACATGTTCCATTTATACAGATACAGTTAAGACCTGGTTATGGCAAGCATTTTCGAGAAAAGATAGGATAAGAGTCCAAGACAAAGGTAGAGAGAAACAACACCAACATAAAACACCGACTATGTAGCACTAATACTGTCAAATTCATAAAAATATATACATGAGTCGATCAGAAATTCACTGTAGATTTCGAAAATGGTGTCAAATGCCACTCAAATACCCCCATTCGCATGTACGAAGCAATAAAACACTGACCTTCAGTTCCGCGTGCCATTCTCCATAGGCCACTGTGTATTAAATAACGCGTTCACTGATCGCAAAAAATGAGACCCACATATGACGCGTTTGCTACCAGCCAATCAGCGCTCGGGATGCCGAGCGCTGATTGGTGGAGAGGGCCGTCGTTAGCAGTCCATTACATGTCGTTTTCCTTGAACATATGCGTGAGCGCTGATGCTGCTCACGGGCTGTTGCCATTTTTCGTAATGCTGAAGGCACGGGAGCGAACCCCCCTGCCCGAGAAGCACCGCAAGTCCATCGTCGAAAGTCTACCTCACTGAGAGCCGAGCATTCTAGTTAAAACTTTTTAGTTATCATATAGGTAACCATGGAAAGATAATGCATGAAAAACAGCCGAACTAGATGGCCAAATGTGAAACCCAGCCGGCTTGCCTAACGAAGCGGATGCACAGATAAACTTAATGGTCGGTTTATGATCCCATAGTGATAGGCGTACTGGTAAAAGTGAGTATGCCACGTCATAAACACGTAAGTAGTCAATTCGACTCAGGAATTCACTCTTCACGGATAGGTTTTTGGCAAGCTCCGACTGTCTCCCGTCACCTGTAACCATGTGCCCGAACCGAATTTAGCCTCGGGTTGGGGGGCAGGGGGCCAGGGGCTAGCGCTTCACTTGGCGTCGGCACCCGCTAAATATTCCGTTCTATTCATCAGAGGCTTCAGAAACGATAGTTTATTGGTTCGAGCCCTAAACGCAAGGTCTGGTCGTGTAGAAGTGTATATTTGTATATCTAGCCGGTTGACACCCACTCACACATTTCGCGGCGGACACCCCTTCGGTGCGGCTCACCTGGTCGCTCAAAACACGCTTCAAATCACATGTATCCGACACCCAGCCAGGCGGTGGCCCTACACGACCCCGTTCAGTCTCTCGGCACTAGCCGCGCGTCGGGCTCGGGGCACGCCCGGCCAGCGGCCCCGGTCCGGCGCCGCGACCGGCCGGCTCCCCTCCCCGTCTCCTCTCCTCTCAGCCGAGGTCGCTTAGAACGCGAACAGCAGCAGGAACGCCATCATCAAACAGAACAGACCCATGGCCTCGGACAGGGCGAATCCCAGGATGGCGTACGAGAAGAGCTGCTGCTTCAGGGACGGGTTGCGCGCGTAGCCGATGATGAGGGAGCCGAACACGGAGCCGATTCCGGCTCCGGAGCCGGCCGAGCCGACGGTGGCCGCGCCGGCACCGATGAACTTGGCGGCAGAGTCGATGTCGCGCGAGACTGCCGAGGTCTGGATGGACCGGTAGGGCACCACGGCCTGGCTGGCGGCCGGCGCCGCGGTCACGGGGCTGCTGATGGGCGCCCACGCCGCAGAGCTCAGAGGCCGCAGCACCTGAAACACAGCATCCAGAAATGGGTCACATTTCTGATCGGCACACGATACTTATCGATCTATGAAGTCAGTTTGATCCACTGTTTAGATCAATCGATCCATTAACACTTGGAACAAAAGGAGATAACATCGTACTAAGTGAGTTTTGACTGCCAGCAGTGATTACATGTCTGCCTTCCATCCACTTTGTTCAGTATAATTGAATTTTAATCAACAATGAACTCTGTCCTTTACATTAATTTACTAAAGCCGTGCAAAAACGCTACCACTGACATGGAGCAAACCTACACAACTGTTCTGAAACTGATTTAACAGCATTGTCCATATGTTCATGTTGTTAAATGAGAACCCAAATTGTCATCGACCCACTCGCTCGCAATGGCCCCAACCGGAAAATCAGGATGACTGAACTTACGGTGGCCCGGGTGGCGGGGAGAACGAAGCGGGAGGCGGCGTACATGTTTGATGTGTTTTGGGTGGTCTGCGGCTACACCGTAAAACCTGGGAAAAAGTAGAAAAAATGGTCACATTATGGCATTGTGTCATTGATGGTATCTGCACCCAAGTGTCAGCAGAAAATGATCCGTGCCTGTTAGGCATGGGGAACTAATAAATCTGATTCCTGATGGCAGAAATGTGAGAGCACATAAGATAAAAAAACTTGTTGTAGTCATTAAGGAGAAAACTTATTTAAAGCCAAATGAAAGCCAAGAGACATACAAATTGAATTACATCTCTACTTGGGCAAATCCCTTTGCCAGTCTCAAATATTTAAAAGATCAAAAGTTCCATAAAACAGAGAATGTCAGAGGTAATATGGGAAGGTAAAAACTCTCCCTCTCATAATGCCCAGCAGTAGCACAAGAGGCTTTATCATTTACCCCGCGT